ATAGTTATTACCAAAATTCTTTAAATGCAGAATTTAATGGATAATCATCATACTTTTTTCAGATATACTTCAGTAGGGCATACTGCAGAATTCAAGAATTTCTAGAATTCACATGTCCTTTTTATTCCTGGCAAACCATCATCTTTGTCTACATATAGTTCATTTTTTCCAAACTAGAAATGTACTCACTTAAGTTCTTCCATCAAACAAGAAGAATTTTTTTAAATTACTACTCAGATTTTAGAACAAGCCAACAATTTTTAAATGGCATGACAGACAAGTCGCTTGACCTCTGGGCTTTAGTTTCCTTATCTATAACATAAAACGGCTGAAAGACTTCCAAAGTGTCTTCCAATCCTACTATCCATGAGTTTACAACGACAGAGTGTCAGTACTGGATGTTTCATTCTTAAAAAAGATTTCTATGGCAGCATTAATAGTGAGATATATATATTTTTCTAAAAATCATAACTTTTCCTTTTAACATGGAGTCTGTTTTCATGGATATTCATTTACTCAGGTCTTAAACATAGGAAAATACACCAAAAGATATTCAAGTTTATACAAGTTTCCCTCTTATAAGCCATTTTCTCCTTGATAGAGAAATTTTAATAATTCCATGTTGATAACAGTTGTGTAAAAAGGGTACAAGTGCAATGTCAACAACTCAGCATTTCCAAATTCTTCTGCAGGAATAGGGAATGGGCAGAACATCATTGTGAAAACATTTATTTACTAAATAACCTTGATAAACTGGAAATTCTTCAAGGAACTCTTAAAGAATGAAAGACCAAACATACTGAAACTTAAAAAGAGAATTAAACTCCTGCTTTCACTGAAACAAGCCCTAATAAACGTACTATTCACCCACAAAATAACACTTTTATTCAGAAGGAGTCCCATGAACTAAGCCACCTGAGGACTCGGCTTTATGCTGCATCAAATAATATGCCATGCTTCTTCTCCCCTGTTAATGATTAGGTTTTTCTAGAGAAAATCAGATTTTTATTCTCCCTTTATAATATATATTACTGAGATCTTTAAAAAGAGAAAATTGGAAAACTCTCCTTGAATAATAATCACTGAATAATAATCATTGAACTCTCCTTCAATAATTATCATTGAACTCCATGGATTTTTGTTGTGTTTTTTTTAAAGTGATTAAATATGCTAATAATAATTTAACATATTTAAATGTCACAAGTTTATTCACTGAAATGCCATAAGTTTTAGTTTCCAGAACTAGTACTTTAATTTGAATTACTTTTACTGCTACACTAATAAATTTAATCCCTGGGGACAACACTGGCAGCACTTCGCAGTATCTTTGTAATGACACAATACTATCACGTATCAGGGTAATGGTGATCATCTTATTCCTTCAAACACAGGGGAAAGGACTTGAGGGGAGTAGCCAGGTATGATTTACCCAAGTATCTTTTCCAGTACCCAGCCCTATGGTTTTCAAACAGTAAGTCCTTCCCAAATCCTTGTTGAATAAATGGAGCTCTAACGTTTATATATATTAGTTACATGTCAATGTCTTCTTATATAGATCTATTTGTATGAGGTGAAATTTAATCTTCAAAAAGCATTTGATTCTGATTAGTATTTTGGTCATCTTACCTACTCAATCAGCAAATTCCTTGTAAGCAAATTATCACAAGTACTAGTTGCTCTATAAAACTGGTTAGGTTAAATATAGCAAAACAAGCCAACAGAAACAAAGACAAGTGAATTTTTAAAGAGAAAAAACAACTGCTCATCCCATGACAAGTTAAGTTCTAGAAGTGTAGAGACGTTTCCTGACTTGTTCACTGCTGTATCCTCAGCTTTTAGCATTGTCAGGCACATAGTAAGCCCTCAATAAATATTTGGTGAATGAACAGATTGATGATAAACACGTCATTATTTTATCTACCTATATATATTTAGTGTAGAATATAAAACAGGATTCATTTGTGGAGTGCAGAAGTTCCAATACAGGTTCATACTGAAGTCTGAATCTGGCAAAGGCTCCAGGATTTGGGATTACCAACTGTAAAATAAGAGTAAACTTACATCCCAGATACTGACTGGCTGATCAAGCCCGGGCCTGGGATACATCAAGCTCAGGTAAGCAAGAATTTCAAGTCATTATCCCTGTGCATACAAGCAGTGGCAGTGCCAGCAATAACAAGTCAGCTTTTCTGGCAAATCCATCAAAATTAAAACTTAAACTTTTGAAAAAACTAATATGTTTATTATGCTTCTTCAAGCTTAGAGGCTTAACTGTCTGTGGGAAGGGCCTATAATTATGATCAATTACTTATGACTTAGAGGCACTTATAAAGGCATCTGCCTCTTTAAGACAGATTTAAAGAACCAACCATAGGACTGTAAAACTGATCCTATGGGGCAACAACAAATCACAGGTTTGGAGGGGCCACCTTTGACAACTCTTTCTTGGAAGGAAAAGAATTACTGTCACCTGTCCTTGATTTCCTGACCCTGCCTGAACAAATATCAGCAACCTCTAAAATCTGGAATTCCTAGTCTAGCCAACCAAGTCATGGGGGCCAGTGATTTCCCCAAGGCAGAGGTGGAAGAGAAGAAATAGGAAGGAAATGGAATGGAGATCTGTAACTTGTGAGGATGACATCATCAATAATTTTCTTAAGTGTCACTGAATTTCATGGCTTATAACTGATGTTCTTTTCTGACAAACCACAGGCTCATTAAATTCAAGTAGCTTCTTGGTTCCAGAGCCTGTAATGTCTGGGTTTGAGTATGATTTGTTCTACAGAAAAGGTCAGATGAACTGATACCTTACTAGGAACTTGCTCCAAGGTAAGGGCCCCACTAATCTGCCTGAATACAAATAATACTTGGACATTTGAAGCATTTTTAAATTTACGAAGTGCTCTCATATACACTATCTCAGTCTCTCCTCACAACTCTTAAGAGTTGTGAAGTGTCATCACTGCTTCACATGAAAAATAATTTTAGAAAATGATCCCTTTGTCTTCAATTCATAAGTATAGTCTCCTGAAATTTCTCGGTACAGAATTCAAGTCATGGTCAGTTAGAAATCTCTAAGGACACACCAAGCTCAAGAAGATAAATCAAGAGAAGAAGATGGATTAGCCAAAATCTACGAGCATAATGGCAAAAACAATCTTCCTCTGTTACAAGAATAGATTATGCTTTGTAAAGGACAGTGTTACACAGGGGTGCCTCTAACATCTCTACATTGGAAGAACATTATTTTATTTATATACCTGATAATCATCCTTAATTGGACACTCTCCATAAGTAACAGACAAAACTAAACAAGAACTTTGGTCCTAAAATTCTAACAGTGGAATTCATCCTTTGGGAAGCGCCTAGGCCATTTCTCTAGGAAGATAACTAAGTTACGGGGGCCAAATATACCCTCTCTTTCTCCCTGCAATATCACAAAGACTCCTCAAAAGGGTTTTTGTTGTTTTTCAACAAAGAAAACACATACAAAAGGTAATCTATTGCTTTTATATATAATCCCACCCTCTTAAAACATTCGTTCTCCCAGGCTCATTATCCCTCTCTGCTTTACTGGCTAAAGCAGAGGTATAATGGAGTCCTATCTTTACAGCCATTTACTACCTTATTTATGTATTTATGATTCTTTGCTGCCTTCTAGCCCAAGTCTAACTATGTTGGGAACAAAGCACCACACAAATCACCCAGCTTGGGATAAGAAGAGACAAGTTAGAACCTCCCAGGAAGATTCTGTAGACATGTGCTCCCTGAGTCTGCAGAGGGTTTGATATTTCAAAGGTCAGTCTTGGGTCTCTCCACTTGGATGACTAATGTTAACTTGTTTGACTTTTTACAAAAATATTTAGCTGTGCTTATTTACACAATTTCATCCACAGTGCACACAGTAGGTACGTATCTGTTGAACAGAATCCCTAGATGGATAAGAAGACAAGAAGACGACTCCAAGATCTCCTTTTTCCAACACATTGTCATAAGAGTTGACAAAGGTAAAATCACACCCTGATTTGTAGAAGTTCCTGTGCATTCCTCTTCCACTTAAAACTATGCATCTCTGTTTAAAAAAGGATGACACACCACACAACGTCAACCACACAATGGGGAAATTCCAGGATCACTAAGAAAACACCATTATCCTAAGACACACACACTTTCGTTTATTATTGGTTACCCACAGGAGAAGCTTGAAGAACTGCTGTCTCCCTGTCCACTCACAAGCCGTCCAGGGAGAGCAATGGGAGAACATTTAGAATCTAAAGATTCCACATCTTGGACTCACGTTTAACCCTTTGGAAACGTAGTCTAAGGACTATGCTGGCCCAGGAACATAAAGTAATACAGACAAACAGGCAACATTTTTGGAAGAAATTTTTTAAACTATTTGAAACTGGGCAACAGCACTGAAGTCCTTAGACCATGAAGAATCCTTATCATTATGCAATTTTAATAAAGAGAAACTGTCGGTGTGATTGGCAAAAATATTCTTACGTTCCTGCATTTTTTTAACGTTATTTATACTAGGCTCCACCAGTCAAGTTCTCTTCCTACTAATTATCACCGCATCCTGCTACCTCTCACTTATACTCAGTCTCTCAAAAATTCCCCAAAGGCCAGGGAAAATAAGCGAGGGGCTGGCAGGGCGTGTCTCAGGTTGGCTTGTTCTGTCCCTAAAAGGCACCCAACTTCCCGGACCCCATTTCAGGGCCGGCAGGGAGAAAACACTTAGAACTTGCACAGCAGTGAGGAAGCCTGCGCAGGTCACATTCTCTGACTTGTCTGACTTGCTCGCTGTCTGGCAAGGTCACCGGCTCTGGCTCCTGGCTCTGTCGACAAAACGTATTCTCACTCCGTAAGGTCAACGGGTCGCGCCGTGCCTCCCCAGCCGCCCTCCGGCCTGGCACCTTCCTGGGCCCGAGGATCCCTCGCCCGGCCCTCCCCGGGCGCGCGGCCCCCGACGGCGCGGGCGCCGCTGCCCCGCTCACCTGACCACGTTGGGGTGCTCGAAGGTCTCCAGGTGCCTCAGCACCGCCACCTCGCGGATGGTGGAGAGCGGCATGCCCTCCTCGCCCGTCTGCACCCGCACGCGCTTCAGCGCCACGAAACGGCCTCCGTTCTTCAGGTCCCGGGCCTTGAACACCTTCCCATAGGCGCCCTCCCCGATCTCCGCCACGCACTCGTACTGCTGGTCGGCGCGGCTCAGGCCGTCCTTCTCCATGCCGCCCGGACACCGCCCGGCGCGGCGCCGCTGGGGCGGGCGGGGGGCTCGCTCGGCTCGCTCGCGGCCGCCGCTCGCCTCCTCTCGGACTCCTCCGCCCGCTCCCTCGCGCCCCGGAGCTCGGTCTCGCTCTCCCTCACCCCTGCGACTACCGCGATCCGGCGCTCGGGCTCTCGCGGCCGCCGGGGCTGGATGGAGCGACCTCCCCGCGGGCGGGCGCAACCCTGGTGCCGCTGCGAAACTCCGCCTGCCGAGTCGCCGAGGAGCGAGCCGATCCCTCCTCTTCCCTCCCCGAAGCGCAGTCCTCTGCACAGACACCAAGGCGATTACATAGTCTCTGCCCGAGTGCGTCTCAGTCCACAATCATTCCACCTAAAAGAGGAGACGGGAGGACAAGAAGAAAGTGCAATCAGACATCCCAGGCGCCTTCCTCAGGGTTCCCGCAGACTCCCCTCCTCCTCCTTCAGGAAGCCCCCATCGCTACCCTCCGCGCGCTCCTGCCCTCTCCTAGGCCGCTTAATCCTTCCTGGTTCCTCCGAGAAAAGCGAAGTTACTTTTCTTTCCCTGCAGGGCTGGAGCGGTCTTCGCGCGGAGAGGTTGCAAGGGCCCCTCCGGGATGAGCGCGCGGCGCGGGACGCACTGGAACGGGAGGGGGCGTGCCGAGCAGCCCAGAGTGTGCCGGGAGCGCGGGGGAGGGGAGGCGCCGGGCACGTCAATGTCACTGCTTAATATTTATCCCTATATCATTGTGTTGCGCTGCTACGCTCCCGGCCTCCCCGGGCCTGGACGTGCAGGGAGAGGGGCTCCTGGGGTGCCATGGGGGTGTTCAGGCGTTGTGCACAAGCTGCTGTGGAGGGACTGTGGGTCCACCCGTGTGGGGCCGCAGAATGTGGGTGGGGGCTCCCAGGACCCTGTAACCCGATGCTGGGAGTGTGCGAGAAGGGGTGGTCAGACATCTGCTCGGAAATTGCTTCCTTTCTTTCTACTTTCAGTTTTTCTATGAGAAGACATTTAAAAACGACTTGCACACACAAGTGGTCTTTTGGGGGTAAAGAAGTCTGGGTTGGAAACGGAATTCCTCCGACTCGGAGGACCTCCCTGGTGGAAACTCTTCAGGTCGGGGAGGGCTGGGGCTCCCGCTACTCAGAGGAGGGTGAGTGATGGGGGCCTGGACGGGGGGCGTCGCCCACGGGATCCTAAGGGTGGGAGAAAGGGGTGTTCGCCACACTTTAGCTTGTCGCCTCCTTAAAGAATAACTTCAGGAGGAAGGTAGCATAACCGTGACTCGTCCTGACATTTTCAACTGATTTCAACCCGAGCAAAACTCAGCCTCCCCCTTAAAAAGGATGGGGGCTGGGGGGAGTAAAGGCTGAGCCTCCGGAGGTGAGAGAGAAGAGGCTGAGCCCTTGGGGCCAGGACTCGCGAACCTTTCCCCACTCCCAGGATCGTCTCCGATGTAGGCAGCAGAAGCGGCTGCTCCATTCCTCTTTCGGCTTAAGGCCTGGTCTCGTCTGCAGCTAGTCGCCCCCCGGAGCCCTCCGCACAACAAAGTGCGGGGCCGAGGGGACACTTTCCCTCCCCATTCATTTGCAATCCAGGAACTAGGCAACCTCCAACCCACAGCCGCCGCGGCCTCGGCGGGACATTCGCCACGCCGGCCGCGTGTCCCCAATTCCCAGGGCACCTCGGAATTACCTGCCCTGCAACTGCTGCCCGCTCGCCTTCTGCCAGGAATTAAAGAAACAAATGGCGCGACCCCCACGGTGTGCGGGCGGAGGGGACTGCAGCGAGGACAGAGCCCCTCACACTCACTCCGTTCAAAAGTCTCCCTAAAACGTGAAAGTGAATCCTGGGGGAGCCGAGGAGCGAGCCCCCCAGAGCCTGCACGGGGGTCTGAGCCAGGCCGAGGGCCACACAGGTAGCGGAGAAGCCGCCGCCGCCTGCGCAGCCCGCCCCTCTCGCGTCCCCTCCTCCCCGCCCCAGTCCAGCCCGAGGCTCTGCAGCGAAGGCAGCGTTGCGGACGTCCCACCCCCGCGGGGAACTGCGCCCGCTACCCCCGCCGGGCCCCGCACCGCCCGCCCTGGCTCTCCCCCCTTGCTCCCCCGACGGTCGGCTCCGGCGGAGAGAAACGGGAGCAGCAGTGCCTTTTCCCCCCCTCTCCTCCACTTTTTTTTGTTGTTGTTGTTGCTTTCCCACGCTGGCTGAATGTGACTTGACCCCATTTCAAAAAAGTTTGACATAGTGCTTCAACATTTCCGCATTCCTCCGCGACTACAAAGGCTGCAGCCGCCTCCTTCTGCTTTCTGTCTCTGCTCTCTGTCTTCACACTCAATGAAATCCTTCATGTGCCTCTCCCGAAGCCTGCCAAGCACCGCAAGGGTCGCCACCAGCGCAGCGACAAGAGGCCGCACCAGGACCACGACTCCCGCTTATGCGCACACGCAGATGCGCCCACGTGCACACTGACGGGCGCGCTGCGGGGTCCGGAGCTGCTCACCGCGGGGTGTGCATTTCGACTCCGATATTTTAAACTATAAAAGTAAACTGGGAAACTAAAGCAAATATGCATCCTTGGGGGACTCCAAGCCTGGGCACTAGCCGCCAGCGTGCACTCCTCTAAGTGTGCATAACACGCCCGCAGGGGTTGCCAGCAGGAAGCCTGAGTTAACATTTATCTCGTGGTGGGGAAGGTGGAGCCCACGCCCACACCTAGCAAGCTGGAGAGGGAGCTTTCGTGAGGAAATAAATATGGGGCACGGAAACACAGTCTTCCGCATGGAGTCCCCAGAGGCAATGCATTTTAAACCCTAAACGCATATTACTATGTGAGTGTCCGAGTGGAGTTTAAATTGTTTGAAGAAACTGGATAAGGAGTGTTTGTGGGGGTGTTTGTGCGCACGGCTATACAGGAGCAGGCACAGGATCTCAGTGTTGGGGGTGTCCCTAGTGTGGGATATCCTCCTCTCGCCAGATTAGGAGAGACTCCTTTAGCTCCCCAAAACTGGCCCCCGTAACTACCCTGCGTCAGTTCATAAGGGGTTAACCAAAGCCGATTCCGAGGACATACAACCCGCCCCCACAGTCACCCCCACCCACACTCTCGCTTCCGACCCTGGCCAAGCCCCCAAATCTTCCCCGGGGACCCCCCACCCCGCAGCCCACCCACCCGAGTACACAGCTCCTCACCTGACGGGCCCGGCCACGTCCGGCCTCCCCAAGGGGCTGCGTGTGTCGGGCCGACCACCGCACGTGTCCACGGCGGCGCGGAGCAGGTAACCCGGCTCGGAGGAAGGAGTTACCGGCACTCTTTCCCGCGAGGGGGTGGGCACAGCGGCGGAGGGCGGAGGGACGGCGGAGGGCGCCGCCCGCGCCGCTCGCTGGGGGCGGACGGGGGCCGCGGGGCTCCTGCCGGGGCTCAGGGCCCGCGCCGGGGAGGCAGCGGGGGCGGGAGCGGGGACTGGGGCCCAAGAGGCCAACGCTGCCCGAGACCCACCGGCGGCGGTGTTGGGGGCTCGCGGCGCAGTGGCAAGCAAGTGTGCAAATTAAAACCTTCCGGAGAGAGGGGAGGCGGCCGAGACCCGGCTGGGCTCTGAACCTCCCAGCTCCGCAGCTCTCGGCACCGAGTGGGGGGCGAGAAGGAGGGGAGAGGGGAGTTAAATGAAAATTTCCGGCTTTCGCTGCAACTGGAGTGGGGGATCTTGCGACTAAAATAAGAGGCGTGAGAGAGAGAGTGGGATGTGTCGTCGGGAGTCGGTGGAGTTTCCAAACCCAGGGTCGCCCGGAGTTGGGGTTTTGACAGAGTGAGGCGGGGGTATCAGCATTCTGTGATGTGGACGGATGGGAAAAACACAAAACAACCAACCGTAATTATGAGGGGCCGGTGGGGATGGTAAATACCAACACTTTCCAAGAAACTGAAAAATCAGACCAAAAAATAACTCTTCTCTATTAAAAAAAAAAAAAATTGGCAAGATGCCTTGCAGAAAAGAAAATACTAATCTGTCCAAGCACTTTTCACTTTCAGCATGAGCTACATTTGTTTTGTTTTCCTTCGCTTCCTTTCGGCCTCACAAAGCCCTATCTTTTCCTTTTGGAAAGAGGATATGATTTGGAAATTGTCAGGCACTCTGTGGTTAACGATCTACTTGAAGGGGCTGGCCGGTTCACAGTTATTAAGTGGTTAGCAACTGCTGAGGATTCACTAAGGTATTTCTGGGGAGCTAAGAAAACTAAAATTCAGTGTAAATAACAGAACTGCAAGATAATAGACACACACACACAAAGAGGAGAGAACGTGATTCGGTGGGTGCTCAGTTTAAATGCATTATTGGAATTCTGAAATTTGAAACCTTGTAAGAATGTATATTTTACCTGCTGAGAAAACCTAAATACAATTATTTCAGGTGAAAATAAGATTTTGGAGGAAAAAAGTCTTCAAGACTTTCTACAATGGAGTAAAACAAAAACTAGCTGTTTTTCTGGAAAGAATTCAGTGTTCTCCAAAATCTGTATCTGTAGAATACTTAAAACCCTTTTAAACATCTTGAAGCAAAGCTAAAATAAGTTTATGTCAATGCTATGTGGAAAAATTAAAACCCAGCAAAATTCTATTTGAGCTGGAAAGATTACCTCTATAAATCTTTTGACTTTTTGAATTAAATCATCTTGCTAATTTCACAATAGATCAAAAATTTGCCTTTATAAAATTGATTCTATACTACAGTATGAAGTAACAGGTTAGGTAAATAAAAATTGTTGCATTTCCATTAGCAAATATTTTGCAAGGCATTATAATAATTTTTTCTCAAATACTAAAAGTGAATAATTGTGTTTCTTTATGCTTAAGGTAATTCATGACACATATTTTGTGTTCAGGAGCATATCTTCTAAAATAAAATCCAATTTCTGAACAAAATTTGTATTTTTAAAGATATCTATAATCTCGTATACTTTATAGACTTAAGAAAGCAAATTGTTAGATTTGTATTTATATAAAATATTTGGATCACTACAAGTCACTAATTAGACTTTAAACCAGAGACAAAAGGGACTTCTGCATTTTGATAATTGCTCACACTTATCAATGCTTTTTGAAACAAGATTTACTTTCTGGTAATTAACACATTTATGTAATTTAGAAATAATTGTCAATAAATAGTCGTAGGAACCAGCAAGTGATTGCAAGAATTTATTTGAGTAAATAATTTGTTTAAAAAATAGTAAGCTGTAAGTATCTTTTAAATTAACAGAAAAATGTCTTTTCTACCATGGGTTGCATTTTTCATTACTGAATTTGACAACAACCATAGGTGGATTAGAAATTCCATGATTTAGGTTACTACACCACTTGGGCAATGTAATAAACAATGAAACTTTATTTAATTATATAGGTTAATACTGAGTGTTAACTCTTTTTATGTCATCTGCTTTGTCTAATATTGTTAATTTATTATTGTTCACTCTCCCTGTTTATGGTTCACATAAATCCCAGTTGGCTAAAGCTTCAGACTAGAAAGTTTTACAATGGCTCGTGTAAAATTAGTAAATACCAGATTGTTTTTGTTTATGGATAACTTCCTCTATGGGTAACAGGTTATCATAACAAAATTTGTGCAAAGTTTATAAACTGTG